TAGCTTGTGGGTTGCACACTATTTTAACTATGTTCACCAACACACTGATCCTAACTGATCATACACATAATAATACATATTATATGATGTACTAAAAAGTATGCACTCTCTATCCATAGCTAGGGACAATATTGAAATCCATGGAAACCAAGGTTTATCTTGGCGGAAGAAGGAACAAATTATGGGGACTTCTTTAAGCCGGAATAGTAGATATATGGACACCATAAGAAATCAACTGCATTGTTAGATTGTGTTGGATAATGTATTTGTAGTATAGGATTTTGTAGCATCTTGAGTTATTTTACATTTATTTCTTATTATGGGATGTAGTTTATCTATAATATGAGGCTTTACCTTATTATGAAATACACAACATAAATATTTTAGAAATCTGATACTATTATAGATTGAAAGTGGGGGTGGGGGTATTCTTGTTACGTTAAACTAGAGGGTACATGCATGACAATATGTGTAGATTATTATTGTTGTGTTTACATGAGATATTTGCATAATTGTGAGAATCATCAGTTATTTCCAATTCATCTTTATGTTGTGGGTGGCGTGGAATCCACACTTCTTTCATTTTTTTTTTAAATTCATCTTTCTACCACTTATGGACTGCACACTCCATTTCAGTTTAATATTTTTGTGATACTGATTCATTTTTATGTTGAGTGGATTGTGGTAGTGTGTATATTCCACAATCTTTAATTTATTTTGCATGAGATTCATTACTTCAACTTTGGTTGTGGGGTGCACACTTTTATCTTTTATTGTAACAACCAAGGATAAACTTTAAACTATGATATTTCGTGCATAAACATATTTTAATTGCAGTGGTTAATTTATATTCAAGAAAAAAATGTGCTTATCACCATGGCTGCTGGTACTATTTAATCTATTTCTTGGAATGCTTTCATTAAATATCATTATCAAGGGCTTGTAAGTTGCACACTTTCAAAAAAAAAAATTCCTCAGCATTTACACATTGATAATTATAGACATATAATATAAGGTGAAACATTCACAAACACGCTATATATATGTCCAATATGAAGGGCTCTATCATCCACAAGTAATTCATCTTATTTCTTTTTTTATGTATTTAACATTATTCATAATATAGTATTGCATGTTCTCTTTCCTTTTTACACCACCATGGCAGTGCAAAATGATCTATGCGTTCTAGTTCTTAAGGACAAATCTGAACAAGAACATGGCCAAGTCTCTGTTGCATCTTTAATGATGTCGGAGCTGTTAGACAAGATGCTAGAGCCATGATTAGTTCTACAAGATTAGTTGCAGGTGCATGTAGGATGGCAATAGGTGAATTTTTTTCAGTTTACTCCCAAGAAGATGTAGATGTGGCTCAGATGAATAGAGAGACCACTATTGCAGGAAATGAGAAAAGTTTCCATCTGTATGGATCGAGTTATTATATGTTTTACTTGCTTTAGTATATATAGTTAGGATGAAAAAGGGTATAAACATGATTATGGTTTTGTTTACATTCCTAAGGTATGTCTCTGCACTACTAGAAAACAAAGGCTTTTGCTACAGAAAAATAGCTACGGAAAATTTTCGTAGGTAATAACCTGCACAATACCTACGGAATACCTAACCGGTAAAAAAATCATATAAAATTTGTAGGAAATAAATATTCTGTAGGTATTCTGTAGGAAATAAAATACAATAAAGTCTGTAGGTAATGTAGGTAATCTGTAGCAAAAGGTTGGTAGGTATTCCGTAGGAAAAGATGTTGGTAGGTATTCTGTAGGAAGAGTAGTTGGTAGGCATTCTGTAGGAAAATCAGTTTGTAGGTATTCTGTAGGAAAATAATCCGTATGTATTTTGTAGGTGTTTCGTAGGTAAATAATCCTAGGTAATCTGTAGGTACTCCGTAGTTAACGTGTTCCTTAGGTATTCCGTAGTTAAATTTGTAACAGAATATTCCGTAGGAAATGCGTAGGAAGGTTTGTAGCTAATTTGTAGGAAAAAATTACCCACGAAGGTTTTTCCTACAACCCGTTTTTTTGTAGGAAATCTGTAGGTAAAGCCTTGTTCCTACGAATTTCCTACCAATATTGCTGTAGGTAATTACTTAGTTTTCTAGTAGTGCTGAGTGTTAATCTGTACATGATTTTTTATTATTAACATGTTTTGTGGGAGGTACATTCCTAAGGTATATCACTGAGTGTTAACTTCCAGTAAATGTTGCCCATATACCAGCGTAGTGAGCACTAATCCAGTAGCAATCAGCACTTCCCTGGGATTGGTACGTGGTTCAAACGAGCACATAAAAAGACACTTCTGCCGGGGACAGATGTTGGGACAAGCAAAAGAGTTTTAAAAAAAAAATAGTTTTTCAACCACATTATTCAAGAAAGTTGTTGGATGGGCATCCTGAAAAAACACGTATGGACTGTTTCCATTTCTAGTCTATTCTATATCATTAGATATTGGGTGTAATATGGTTTCCAACATATAGGGTGAATCTATATCATGAGAGAATACGATGAAATGCTGCTGGTTGCTATTAATGTCATGGAGGTTGTTGGATGGGCATCTTTAAGTCTTCTTGCTAAAAGTTATGCTACCATTTTTTTTTCGTGACAGTTAAAAGGTATAACTTATTTGAGGCTTTTCAGAACAATGACCAAAGACTTTTGCAACATCTATCATGTCATAACTGTCATATGAGTAGTAGCCACTTACCTTTGAAATGTCACCAAAGGTCTGCTTGTTAGAGTTTAAGCACTTTAGATAAACAAGATAAACGATTTCACACACAGATAAAATAACGTAAAACGAAAATTTCGAACACAATCAATTTACGTTAGGGGTGAGCATTTGGACCTGTGGACCGGACCGTTTTTTTGGACCCCTGGGCCGGTTCTAGATTCTAGGATTTGAGCAAAACCGGTCCGGCCGGTTCCGGGTAAAAACCGGTTTTGGACCGGCTTATTTTTAAAAAAAATTGTATTATGTGAAATTCTTTAAACAAACATATCTCATTCATTTTATGTCGGATTGATATGCGGTTTTTTCCAACGTATAATTTAGAGTTTGTAGTTGATTTTAGATTATAATTTTGTTGTTTTTGGTGTTATATTCGATGAGTTACAATTCTTCAAAGATGAGATATCAAAGCTGAAATATTTCATTTTTTCAGCAAGAAATTTAGACTTTTGTGTTTTGTGAAATTCTTTAAACAAACATACCTTATTTGTTTTTAGTCGAATTGAGATGCAGTTTTTTTAATGTGTAATTTAAAATTTGTATATGAGTTTAGACTATAATTTTGTTGTTTTTGGTGTTATATTTAATGAGTTACAATCCTTCAAAAAAATGGTATAAAGAATAAACAATCAAAGTTTTAGCGGTTCAAAGGGTAGAAGAAACGGAAAGATATTGATCATTTTTACGAGTTGTATAATATAACACCCAAAAAAGTATTTATTTTAACGAGTTGTAATGTATCAAACCCAACAACATATTCGTTTTAACGAGTTGTATCAAACCCAAAAACGCATTTTAACAAGTTGTACCGTATGCATGTAAAGTTGTACCAGTCCAAACGGGTCCAAGAACCGGAAAACCCAGACCTGGACCCGATAAGTCTCATCCGGTCCGGTCCACGGTCCACAATATTCTCTTAAATCGGTCCTGTTCGGCCCGGTCCGGTCCAAATGCTCACCCCTAATTTACGTGATTTACACTATAGAGTGATCGTCTATGTCCACGAGAGAGAGAGAGAGAGAGAGAGAGAGAGAGAGAGAGAGAGAGAGAGAGAGAGAGAGAGAGAGAGAGAGAGAGAGAGAGAGAGAGAGAGAGAGATGATATTGTCGAATGGCTTACATATACCTTAGGTTTAAATACTAGTTGGTTGACCTAAAACAACGAATAAGGCTAACTCAAAAACTCTACTCTGACAAAAAAAATTAGCCCATGGCAAAATTGAATGCGAATTTGACATAGGAACTAGCTGCTATAGGGTCGTCAAAAGGGTGAATCAGTTTCCACAACTTAACACCCGTTATCCTTCTCCCTCTCAAATACACATCTCTATGTTGTGGGTGATGTGGATTCTATACTCCTTCCATTTTTCTATTCATCTTACCACCACTTATGGACTGGTCATTGCATTTCAGTTTCATAATGTTTTGAGATATTGCTCCATTTTTATATTGAATGGATTGTGGTATACATGTGTGGATTCCACAACCCCTTTTTTTTCATTAGATTGATTACTCCAACTTTAGCCATGGACTTTACACTCTTTCCTTTATTATAATCAAGGATTTATTTCATTTCTTGATTGTGTGCATGAATTGTTGAAATTGGATTGTATCTAGGATGTTAATACATAGAAATTTAAATAAACATAATACCATTAACACAAAACAGAAAGTAGATAGGGGCAAAACCGTTAACTGGAATAGATATAGTCAGCCACTCAAGCTAATGGCGATAGTTTTATTAATTTCTGGGTGGTAACTCTGATGTCAATGTCCCACAATCCCTAATTAAGGTAGTACGTTTCCTTCAAAAAGTCGAAAAGTAGAAATGTAGGAAAACAGAGTGAATATTGTAATTGTCTTAGTTATATTTTGCTTCTATAATTCTTTCATGGGTATGACCTTAAAGAAAACAATTAAATCTGAAAGCTTGTAACAGGAAGAGGTATTATAACCTTTTTATTGTTTGTAGTTTCATGGTCCTTATAAGATTATGCAATAACCTTGCAGCACCTATATCAACACACCTTTTTGTTTCATATCACTATCAGCCTTGTTGGTTGTGCACTGACTTTAACTATATTCACCACCAACACATTGATCCTTATTGATATATTGCATGTATACTCATACATACATACATACATACATAAAGGCTATATATACGATAGAGGGACTCTATCTACCACAAATAAGTTGTCTATTGTTCTGGTTATAATTCTTCCTTCTTTGTGATATAAAATCCTTTTTCGTTCTTCCACCATGTCTGCAACAAACGATCTACACATCACAGTTCCTGAGCCTGAGTACAAATTTGAGCAGAAACATGGACAAATGTCTGTAGAGGAAGACTGCGATTACTCACAAAGGGGACAGTGGCTGCGTGCTGCTGTTTTGGGAGCCACTGATGGTTTAGTCTCTGTTGCATCTCTGATGATGGGTGTTGGAGCTGTCAAGCAAGATGTGAGAGCCATGATTCTTACAGGCTTTGCTGGCTTAGTTGCAGGTGCATGTAGTATGGCAATAGGTGAATTTGTTTCAGTGAGCTCCCAACGAGATATAGAGGTGGCTCAGATAAAGAGAGATAAGAGAATTTCAGGAAATGAGGAGGAAAGTGAGAAGGAAGCACTGCCAAATCCCATTCAAGTAGCTGCAGCATCGGCCCTAGCATTTATGTTGGGGGGCCATCATGCCCTTACTGGCTGCTGCTTTCATAATGGACCATAAAGTTAGGCTCGGGTTTTTTTTTTAAAAAAATTTATAATTATTGATTCCGTGATTTTTTTTTAGAAAAAAATAATAATATCGATTCCGTGCTTTTTTTTTAGAAAAAAAAAATCTTTTTTTTTGGAAAGGGAACTTCCCTAACGAGGGTTTCCGGGCCAGCTTTCGCGCACCGACTAATCCCCCGCTGCAAACATGAAGCTTTGCCTCATACCCTGGAGTCACTGCAGGTGAACCTCCATGGCCACAAGGGCTGAGTGGTGCCAGGATTTGAACATGGGTTAATAGGTTATCCACCATATCTTCCACATGTCTTACCAACTCACCACAACCCAAGTGGTTAAAAAAAAAAATCTTGAAACCGTAGGTTTCCTAAAACCTACTGTTTTATAAAATAACATTGTGTTTTGGTAGTTTCTGGTTTGTTACAAAATATGTTATTATCACACCATTTTCAAAGTACAATGCTATATTTGGTATACTATTAGTATATAAAATACAAAAAGTGTTGTTAATTAATTTCCTTTGGTATTTTATACAAAGTGAATAGAATATATGAAATGATTAAGTCTTATATTGTGTGCTTTCTCTAATTGTTTATCACTATTTTTTTTATAAAACTTTATTTAACCTTAATGTTTATTTAATTTTGTAGCTTCCAAACAAAAGGATGATGGGTCACTTATCTGTCAAAGCTTCATGTCATAAGTTGCATGAAGTTTTGAGTGGCTTGAACGGACCCGTGCACAATCTTTTTTCAACAACTAGCTTCGGTTACTTGTTATGTTAATTTTAAATAATTGTATTTGAATCTGTAAGAGTATTTGGTTTACCTATGTTTAGTAATCTAATTATGTTAATGTTAAATAATTGTATTTGAATGAGTTTAATGTCAAGTAATTGTATTTTAATGAGTAATTTATTTCCAACAGTAAAGTAGATACCTATGATGTGTTTTAATGTTAAATAATTTATTTCCCCACAATGTCGTATTGGTTGTTTTTGGAGTCGCGTCTTTCACTTGTTTCATTATGAAATGGGTCGAGGTTATTACCGGACAAAAAAATATGTAAAATTAAAAATGTTACAAGTCAAACGACATGTCTGCTAATTTTGACAATTTTATTTGTAAACAACATGTGTTCTACAGTTAAACGAAATCAGAAAAAAATAGATTACAACTTGTACAAAACAATATGAAAACGATAGCACAACAAGTTACCATAGATGGAAACATAAATCATTACAAATAATAACATACAGTACATTTTACATTTTACAACTTGTAGACAACAACACAAAAAAAGAAAATCCAACTACAAAGTAACGCTATCTTCAAGTGCAGTATTTTACTTTGAAGCTTCTTCTTCGATCGAGCTAAGTTAGAAATTATTAACGAATTATTGTCTTTTGCATCATCCACCCAACAAATAAACCCAGTGGTGACTGATAAATAAATATCAAAAAAATTATGTATATTGTGTAAATATTCACTAATAAATTATAATATAAATAATTAGAGGATAACCCAAATATCTCTTTAGGACAAGCGTAAAATAATCGTCCAGGGTTGTTGGTAGTTCTTGAGGTCCTTATAATACCTTGAGCCCCGCAATTGCAAATTGTCATTTCTTTGGTTTATGAGAAGTAAATTTTTATTGGTGTTGACAGGTAAATATATCTTCAATTATATACTGCCATTAGACTACTTTTTTATAAGTATTGACTACTGTCTACTAGCATTTGACTACTAGTTTATGTGTTGTCTTATCGTACAGTGAATTTCGGACATATGATTGTAATTTGAGTACTGTGTTATAGGTATTGACTACTGTCTACTAGCATTTTACTACTAGTTTATGTGTTGTCTTATCGTACAGTGAATTTCAGATACATGATTGTAATTTGACTACTATTTTATAAGTATTGACTACTGTCTACTAGCATTTGACTACTAGTTTATGTGTTGTCTTATCGTACAGTGAATTTCGGACATATTATTGTAATTTGAGTACTGTGTTACAGGTATTGACTACTGTCTACTAGCATTTGACTACTAGTTTATGTGTTGTCTTATCGTACAGTGAATTTCAGACACATGATTGTAATTTGACTACTATTTTATAAGTATTGACTACTGTCTACTAGCATTTGACAACTATTTTATGTGTTGTCTTATCGTACAGTGAATTTCGGACATATGATTGTAATTTGACTACTGTGGCTGATAAATAAATATCAAACAGTATCCATTATTGTAAGTTATTTGACAATTTGAATACTCTTTGACATTATTTGACTACTGTTTTACATACTTTGACTACTTTCTACCCTGCATAATGTATTCTTATTTCGAAATGACTACTCTAAAAATGAATAATTACCCTTGCATTCAACTTGAAATGAAATCCATTTATAGTGGACACCTTATTCATTGAACATACCAATTGGCAAAATGAGTGGATTCAATGAGGTATACAAAAAAAAGTTTTTCCAACCCACCAATATTCTTTCATAATCTTGAAAGAACAAATCGTAACTCTTTCACAATCATTAAGAAAGATATGAGAGACCGGTTTCAATTTTGTTTTGTCGCATTGGGATGCGTGGTATGTCCTTCTCTACACTACGTTATTATTTATTTAAAGTTCATATTTGCCTAATGTTGGTATCGTTTCTTACAGATTACTACCTTTCTCACATCCATGATACAAACAATATTTGTTGGTCATGTACCCCTTATTGGGGGCAACATAACGACAATGTATGTTGCTCTTGCATTGGATGGTAATCATGAACCCTTGATCATAGCATTCGCTTTGGGAAGCATAGATTGTGACGAGGCTTGGATTTGGTTCATGAGAAGGTTAAAAGAATGCTTAGGTGAAACTATTGAAGTTGGTTTCATAAGCCATATGTCTAATTCCATAGACTACGCCATTCAGTGGGTATACCCAGATTCATATCATGGGTATTGTTGTAAAAAAATAGCCGATAAAGTTAGGGCTTCCACAGGAAGTACCGTTGTGGAACAGTTGTTCTGGAAGACATGAAAAACTTATAGTGTGTCTGAATTTTATGTTTGTTTGAACAAATTAACAAATGAGGTTAATGAGAATGATCTTCACTGGCTTGAAAATATTGCAATTGCAAAATGGGCTCGAGCCTTTTTTCCTAAAGTTCGTTTCAATGTGAAATATATCAGCATTCCGATTAGATTGGATTGGCTAACAACAAACACGCACGAGTTACCAATAACGTCAATCTTTGAAGTGGTCCATCAGTCGATACAAACACTGTACGGCTATCGAGCTGCATTCGGAGGTAATAAATATTTGTTATTTAACTTTTACCTTAATATACCCCTATTTGATTGTAACTCAAATAATTTCACAGAGGGAATGCATGGTCATCTTACCCCTTACGCACAGCATGTGCTTGAAATAAGAATGAACCAGTTTAATGGTTATGAGGTTACACATATTGGTAGTGACAAATTTGAAGTGAGTTTAAATTTAACCATAGAAACGGTACAAGTTGAATGTGGTATTTGTACTTGCGGCAAATGGCAAAAATGCGGCATACCCTGTGAACATGGTATAGCATCGCTAAGAAGGCTTACAGTTGAAGAAATACAGCAATTGGTAAATTATACGTTGACTTCTGCGGTGTAGCGAAATGCATTCCAAGCTGAGGCGGTTAATCCTATTCCAATCCTTCTGCATTGGGAAATACCAGTTGAAAATATGGTCGTCTTACCACCATTTGCACGTTAGTAATATGTTAAGTTATCTTTATTATTAATGTTATGTTTATTTGTAATTCAAATTTCCTTTCAGTTTTTATGTTATCTTTATTATTAATGTTAAGTTTATTTGTAATTCAATTTTCCATTCAGTTTTATGTTATGTTTATTAGTAATGTTATGTTTACTTGTAATTCTAATTTCTTTTCAGTTTTATGTTATGTTTATTAGTAACGTTATGTTTATTTGTAATTCTAATTTCTTTTCAAATCCGGATATTTTCTAATGAACAACTATGTACAAAGAACGTAACCAACATATCAAACATGAAAATTAGACTTAAAAACATACTTTTATGGTAAGCTAAAAACGGCAACTTATGTTATTTAATGTCATTTTTAACAGCACGAAGCATACTTTGGAAGGTAAAACCAATGAGGTAACGATATCGGATTTGAAATCCGGATATTTTCCGACGAACAACTATGTACAAAGAACGTAACCAACATATAAAACTTGAAAATCAGACTTAAAAATGTTATTTTATCGTAAGCTAAAAATGGCAACTTATGTTATTTTATGTCGTTTTTAACAGCACGAAGCATACTTTTGAGGGTAAAACCAATGATGAAACGATATCGGATTTGAAATCTAGATATTTTCCGACGAACAACTATTTAAAAACAACGTAACCAACATATAAAACATGAAAATCACACTAAAAACATACTTTTATCGTAAGCTCAAAATGGAAACTTATGTTATTTTATGTCGTTTTTAACAGCATGAACAAATGGATTAGGTTATGAAGGTAAACAGGTAAGTTGTAAAAGCTTTCTTCATGCTCACTATCAGAGAAACTCATTTCGAATCAGTTACAAGAGACAGTTACCAATTACTTAGTGTGCCTAAGGTTGTGGAGGTAAGGGGCTTACCACATGCGGACACATATGTATGTAGTAGCTGGAAAGGCAGGGTCCATAATGTATTGTCTTTTCGAACAGTATATTTGTCGTTTCAAACAGTATCTCCGTGTAAAGTATCTGCCAGTTGGACTACTCTTATCGTAGAGTGAATTTCAGACACATGATTATAATTTGACTACTGTGTTACAGGCATTGACTACTGTCTACTAGCATTTGACTACTAGTTTATGTGTTGTCTTATCGTATAGTGAATTTTAGACACATCATTGTAATTTGACTATTGTGTTACAGGCATTGACTACTGTCTACTAGCATTTAACTATTACTTTAAG